ATTGCAACCCGAGTAGGCGTCCATAAATGATAAAATTTTGTAGTCGACCGAGTTGTTGACCAGCATATTGATGTTTAGGTAAAGGAAAAGCATCTTTGGGACATGCTCAGTTGAGATCGGTATAGTCAACACATATACGCCATTTTCCATTATTTTTCTTAACAAATACAACATTTGAGAGCCAGGTTGAATACCGAGCCTCATAAATAAAATTTACCTCTAGGAGGTCTTTTACAGCTTTCTTAGCAGCATCCACTTTTTCTAGAGACATCCTACGCCTACGTTGTACTACTGCCTTAGCGGCCGGGGTCCATAACAAGTTGGTGACAAGTGACCTTAGGGTCGATTTCAGGAATCTCCATAGCGCTCCACGCGAACAGGTCAACATTCTCCCTTAAGCAGGCTTTGAGTTGCTTCCTCGCCAGGTCAGAGAGTCCAACACTGATCTTCACACCTTTTTCCGGGTTTTTATCGAGGGGGGATGCACTCGAATTCTTCGTCTGGGACGGATCGGAGAGGATCTTGTTCGCCATTGGGGGCCTCAACTTCATCTTTGTTAAAGAAGGTGTCGAGTACAATGGAGTCCACCTTTGGCAGAGCCTGTTGTTTTTTACTCAAGCAGGTTTGTCCATCGAGGTAGCTGCTACTGTTGATATGGTTGCTCTTTTAGTAGATTTTGCTCCAGTGTCAACCATGTTTTTCCCTTTGGAAGCCGCGTTGAAACATCTCCTGGAAGCTGAGATATCTCTGTGGATGGTGGAGATACATGCCTTCTTCGTGTAGATCTTCATCTTTAAATGCACCGTGGAGGGTACGAAGGTCAGCTCGGCTAGTGTTGGTCTCCCTAAATGCAGTTGTAGAGAGACGGGTAATCGATCACCAGAAATTGCACTTTGACATGTCGGGATGCAGTTTCTTCCCCCTAATGTGACAAAGAGCTCGACGTAGCCCCATGGCTTAGAGGTCGAACTGTTAAATCCTTGCAGGTCAGACCCTACGTATGGTGATAGGGTGGTATCGTCGAGTTGCAGGGTGCGGAACAGGTGGGTGTACATAATATCGACGAAACTCCCTTTGTCGAACAAGATGAGGTGTACATCAAAGTTGGCCATCTTCTCCCTCACCATAAGTAGAGAAATGCTAGAGTCGGGGGCTCTTCCGGATAGCTCCTCGAGATAAAAGGTGATCGGCTCATATTTCCCTTGAATCTTTCAAGGGTTTACTGCCTGGATCGGGGTTGTATCCACTGGCTCGTTGAGTTTCCTCTTTGCTGAATTCACCAAAATATCAGTGAATCCTTCGCCAAAATATGACCATGGTAGAGGGGAACTTCTCCCATCTACTGTGGGTGAACAAAGGCTCGTCTTCTTCAAGACTATCGGGGATGTGGAATTTCCTTGGGCCTTCTGATGCAGAAGGCTACCTAGAGGGGGCCAGATTCATCAGATGGTCGGGATCCTCCTCAATTTCTTTTAAACCTCGCGGGTATTCCAGCGAGGGAGTCTTTCCGCTTTTACTGCCCGAGTCTCTCTGACTTGATGAGAGTCTCGATGGCGTCCTTCAGGTGGATGCAGTCTTCGGTCAGGTGACCATGGCTCCGGTGGTATCGATAGTATTTTGTTATGTCGACTCCTGGTTTTGCGAAGGGCAAGACGAGGATGCCTGACCCCTCCGTCCTTGAACTCAACATTAGAGCACTCTGCAAGGATACGCTCGAAGGAAGCGGTTAGCGGGGTGTACTCGATGAACCGCCTGACTGGTCCCATGTGCTCGCGGAGGTCGCGAGGTTTCTCATCCCTTCTCTTTTCCCCTATTCGTTGATAAGGCCCTGCGTCACTATGTTGTGGGATGTTAGTTGGTATGCGATTCCTCGAATCGCGAGCATTATGGCCTCTTTTTCCTCGTAGTCCATGTACGCTCGGGCTTTTTCAAAGAGTGCATCAAAATACCTGGAGGGCTCGATGCCAATGACCTTTCTAAATTCAGTGCCTGGGAGGAGTCCCATCTCGAGAAAGTATCTCTTCATGTGGTCGGCGCAGGGGACCTGAATGGCCTCGCGGTTGAAACGATCAATTTATTCTTTGAGGGTCTCATTGCTCCTCTAGACGATTCCCTCGAGGGCAGCCTCAGTCTTCGGTACCGATAAGATACAGTGAAGCTGCTGATGAGTTGGTTCTTCAAATTCCTCCATGAGGTGATCGACCCGTGGGGTAGGTTCTTATACCAGTCCATGGCCATTTTCCCTCAGTGTTGTGGGGAACAACCTGCACTTAATGGGGCCCCGATGTTGTGGTAGTGAAGCATGGCTTCAAAGCCGTCGATGTGGTCGAAGGGGTCAATAATTCCATTGTATTCCTTCAGAAGGGAAGGCTTCTCCATCCCTTCTAGGAATAGGGGCCTCCATGATGGCCCAGGACAGCGGACCGTGAGGGTCATCTTTGTCGCTTCTTTCCAGGGAGCGAGATGGGGACTGGTAGTAGCGGCGATCTTTGTGTTGGTTTTGGTCCCGTGGAGGGTTCCTCGACCAGACTTCTTCTCTTTCTCGCTCCTATTTCTTTTATGTTCAGAGGATCTTCGCTCTTTTCGCGAGGGGTGTTACCGCCTCTCTTGGTAACTTTGGGTTAGGTCATCTCCAATGCAGGACTTCGCCCAGTTCGGCAGGGAGAAGGGCTTCGAGAAGTTGTCCCGTCTGTGTCTCCATGGGGGAGATCGGGAGAGGTCCTCGTTTATGGGAGGAGGAGTTAGAGTATCAAATCTTCGGTGCCTTCTAGGGGACTGGCGAGTTTTTTCCAGCATCATCAGGTGCTCACCTTACACGAAGATCGTGTAATTCGTCTGGTTTGATCGCCACGAACAAGGATCCGATTATGGCGTCAACATTTTCGGGAATGAGGATCTCCTGATATGTAGTCAGCTCGTAATTCTGCCGAGGATGGTGGGTGTCGTCGCGTGGTTGCGAGCGGTTGAAAGAAGATGAGATCATCCCGTCTCGGGGGTTCTTGCTAGGGGGCAGCGGAGTTGTTGTTGCCCGCATTGGAAAAGTGAACATTTTGGTCATTATTGAAAGCTTGGTCGGCCATGAAAACATGAAGGTTTGAAGGTATTACTTTGGTCTTACGTGAATGAAAGATGGGGAGGTCTTGTTCCCACAGACGGCGCCACTGATCGTACCTTATTAGAAGAGATCGTCAAGGCCCACAAGCTTTAAGTCGGGCAGCGTTGAATGTGAAGTGGGGGTACCTGCATGACACTCCGGTGCCAAAGTAAGGTTCATAGTAAGTGCAAGTAGAGTGTGAAAGTATCGATGAATGAATGAATATCTGACCCTCTCAAGTGAGAGGGTATTTATAGCCCCTAATTTTGGGCCAAGTTCCCCATATTAGGCTGATAGGATAGGCCCAAAATAAATACTGTCAGGATCTACGTGAGTAGGGGAGACCAGCATGTGGTCTCCCTCCTGAGTGGACTGCTCTGAATTACTAGGAGGACGTGGTTGCGGTATTTCTGGGGTCAAAATGACTCCGGGATATTCGGAGACGTGGGTGTGTGCCCTATGAGGAGGGTTGCCCGTCAAGACCTCTTGGGAGCCGTTAATGCTGCTCGATAGCTATATGGCGAGGAAGTCCCAGGGGCATGTCCTCAGTGCAACGATGGAGTCTTTGTCTGACATAGTCAATGGCAGCCTCATTCTTGCTGGCCTTCGTCTACAACATGGTTGGATTGAGTCTTGTATGTTGTTTGATCCAAACACAAGCCTAGTCCAAAACACGTTTGATCTTGATTGCATAGTTTAGAAAATACATATTAGATCATCTCAAAATTGTCAACTTTAAATCAGAACCATCCAATCTTGATCGGACGATCAGCTACGCTTGAATGTGTGGAAAAAGTGGTTTGTCGACTACAGGGAATCTGGATCGTACATAACATGCCTAGATCCATTTATTCTAGAAGTAACTTTTAAAAGTAATATTATATTTACTACATTTTGTTAAATATGACTTTGATAAAGTTATTTATGGATTTTCTTTTCTTTATTCTTTTGCTTTTTATTTTATAGATTTAGAGTCAACGTTGAATAAACTATATATGAATAAATTATATATTGGTGTTGTATATAAATTTAAATTTATTCGTTCAAACAATATTTTGATATCATAAGAAGGTAATTATTAACCTACTCAATGTGTTTGAATATTATAAATATAAAATTACACTGACCACTCTTGGGATGTGTATATGGTCACTCTCATATTCTTATATTACTTTCGCGTATACTAATCAAAACATTTTTACACTATAAATAAGGGCTAAGAGTGTGAAATTTTAATCTTACCATCAATTAGCTCCATTGAGTTGTTTTAGGTTCTACTAGAGTATTATTTTTTCCTAGCAATGGTGAGTCAGTATTGGGCTTATCGTAGAGAAATTGCTCAAAATAATGGACATACTCGTCCTGGTGAGGAGCGTAACATTCAAAGTAATAGCTCCAATCAAATCCCAATTTTTCATCAATCACAAAATAATCGCTTTACCACACCCTGTAACACTCAAAATGGGGGTGAAAATGCAATCCCCATTATCCATCAATCACATAATAATTGCTTTAGCACTTTGCGTAACAATCAAAATGAGCGTGACAATCTAATACCCATTATCCATCAATCACAAAATAGTCTCTTTACCACTCTCGTAACAACCAAAGTGAGTGTGACAATCAAATTCCCATTATCCATCAATCACAAAATAGCCGCTTTACAACACTTCATAACAACCAAAGTGAGTGTGACAATCAAATCCCCATCATCCATCGATCACCAAATAGCCTCTTTACCACACCCCGTAACAATCAAATGTGCGCGAGACAATCAAATTTCTATTATCCATCAATCACAAAATAGTCTATTTACCACACCCAAAGCATACTGCAAAGATCCCAACATCATCCTACAAGTCTTAACAATTTTCCACATGTGTCTGTTATTGATCAGCAACCACATATGACTTCTGTTAATACACAACCACATATGGGTCCATACAAAATAACTCATTATCGTTGCAAACTCAATTCAACAACAACCACATATGAATGCTCTCAACCAACAAACATATGTAGGTCCACGCAAAATAACTCCTTATCGTGCAAACTCCATTCAAAGTTCTCCCCTAATGATGTTGGTTTCCAAGGTTTCACAAAAGATTTTTCAAATCCTTCGAGACCAATTTTTCATAATCCAAAGAATCTCGATTTCATCCTTATGGTGAAGGCTCTAGTCGTTTGAATAACTCTTCTGTGTTCAATGATTTCAATCCTCGTCTAACTGTCAACTTGAATAGCTTGAATGTTATGAAAGACGATGTTATACCAATTAAAACTCCTCCTCCACATCATATAATAAAAGGTCCTCACATTTTTCATCCTGTCACCACTCTTCCACACCTTTCTATCACAAGTCTTCCCTTGTGTCATATTGATCAAAAGAAAGATTTGGATATGTTTTGTTCTTCTTATAGTGCTGATATGGATCCAATTCATGATAAAGAGCCTAAAAGTTATGAGTTCGACATTAGAGATACTGAGGCTTGGAAAAGGAAAGGAAAGAGTTTTGTCTCTCCTAATAATTGTTATGAATCAGTGCCAAATAAAAAGAATACGTTGCTTATTTTCAAGGATGAAAAGAATGAAATTCCTAAAGGTTCAATGATTGAAACTAATGAAGCCAATGAAAAAGATGAAGAGAATTTGGATCTGTCGCTTCACCTTTAAATGATGAATGAATATCTAATGTCTTTTTCGTTTAATACATTTTGTCTTTTATTTTTCGTTTAATGAATTTTGTTTTTTTCTCATTAGTTATTGGTTGTTTTTTCAACCTAATAATATGTTGAATTGCTTTATGTCATTGTCTTTAAATTAGAAAATAAGATCTCTTTACCTAGGTTGTGTAATGACTAATGTGAAATATAATAATATTATATTTTTAATAATTTTGTGTAGAATCAAATTTATAAATTTAATTGTTAAACCAAAAATATTTACAATGATATTTTTATATATGATTGATGAATGAATATCTTATTAATTCAGCTCAATTAGATAGTTGTATGAACGTCCGTTTATATTAGTGTAAGTTAGAATCCGCAACGTTTTACTTATTCATCTTTAAATAAAAATTTAATTCTTAAACTATTAAATAAAATAAATATCACAAAGACCATTTATTAATTCTTAAACTATTAAATAAAATAAATATCATAAAGACCATTTATTAAATTCAATTGTTAATATTTAATCTTCT